ATAGTCCAAATGTTAATAAATGAGAAAATCCTTCCATCAAGAGTTGTTGCCTTGCCTGCACTGCTGCTCCAACTGGACAGCCAGCCCTCAGAAGACAGAACAGCTCCCCCTTACCATTTACTCTGGATCCCACCCAGGGCACAGGAGGCCACGTAAGGAGCAGCCACTCGGGTGAGGTAAAGCAGGAGTGGGGTCAGGACTGCAGCAACTCCCTCGCCTGCAGTTTTCTCTCTGGTGTGGGGAGACAGCCCCCAGGGTAATCTGTCTCCCTCCTCTAGTGGTGCTGGGAAGGGGTTACCTGTGGGCTAGGTTTCCAGCCTTGATTTCGTGTGCTACTTTGATCTGTCTTTGTCTTCTCAGTTCTGTATCTCTTGCCCCGACACAATTCTTAGCCTAATGCAAGCACACAGTGTGTGGCCTTCAGGGGTTCATTTCTAATGAAATGTCTGTATCCCTAGCAACGTTCTTTAAGAGACCATCTCAAATGGGTAGACATCTAGCCAGTGACTAAGAATTTGTGATTTCTCTCTTGGGAGTTGCCTTCAGAGGTAGTTTGAACACAGACTAGAAAGCTGTCATGGTTTCTGGCCACACCTCATCCTTGATCAAAGACAGTAAAAACAGCCTGGTCACTTTATCCTGTTTACCCAACTTCCTTCCAAGTGAATGATGACCATTTTAAAATCCACCCGCCACATATGAATGTCTTCCACCTCAAGAGAGGTTGAAAAGAAATTCATTTGAAGCTCTGAAAGCTGTTTGTAAATGAATGTCTAAAAGCATGTGGTTGTCTTGTTCTCAAGGCCAGTGCAGCCCTTGACTCTGTAAGCACTGCTGTGTTGGTTAAAACTTCAGGAGCATCTGTTCTTTATAAGCTGCCTTGTCCTCTAACACCTGTTTCCCCTTCCCTCTGGCACCACTGTGTGAAGAAGTCATGGTTTCTTTACTTTCTCAAAATTCCCAGTTCGCCATCCATTCTGCCCTCCTTCTTGATGGTATCTATTCACTAGTCCTCTTCCTAGCTAGAGACCTGGAAAGCAAGGAGCCAAACCACTCTGGGACTCTGCCCTGTCCATTTACTAAGCATAGTAAAGACCCTAATGAACCACACTCAGCCCTGAGAAGACACGGTGACTTTTGTGCAGGGCTTTCAGCTGTAGACACTTTGAGGTCATGATGGATCTTGGCAGGCGCACACCACACCCATGAAGGAAATGTGCGGAAGAAGATTCCCAGGTGGGTTACCACGGAGCTGGTTACTCTGACTTTGAGAAGCACATCTTTCTATCTGCTTAAGTTAATTGCTTAAACACTTTCATGTTGAATACATGGTAAAGGACAGACAATCCCTGCCTTCACATACTGTTCAGTCCTGCTGGGAAGCCAGACAAATGTATGTGAAACAATATAGAATCATCATTTGCTGAATCTATAGAAATTTTGAAAAGGAAGCATTCCACATAAAATGGGGTAGTTAGAAAACTCTACCTAGAGGGAGTGAATACAAAGGCTTCTGAGAATGTAGGTTATTTTAGCCTTGAGAGACATCAGAATGGAGCTTGGTTTTAGGGGTAATTATTGTTGTTTCGTCCTGCTATGCATAAGGTCTCTAAGAGTTGGTAGTGACTCGATAGCACCTAACAACATTGTTAGGTGCCATCAAGTCAGTATTGACTCATAGTGACCCTGTACAGCGTTTCCAAAGACAGGCTGGTGAATTTGAACTCCTGACGTTGCGATTCAAACAGACCTTGTTGTCCAGTGCTTATCCTACAGGGCCACAACAGGTCTCCAGGAATGATGTTGTTGTTGTTATGTGCCAATGTGCCTGGCAAGTTGGTTCTGACTCAGTGACCCTGTATATGGTTTCAGAGCAACAGCTTGTGTGTTTGAACCAGCAATCTTGTGCTTTGCAGTCCAGTACTGATCCTCTAGCACCACATCAGGAGTTCCCAGGGAGGAATGCTGTTAAGTGTCGTCGAGTCGGTTCAGACACATAGCGACCCAGTGTAGGGTTTCCAAGGAGCAGGTGATAAGCTTGAACTCCTGACCTTGCAGTTCAAACCCACTTTGCAATCCAGCACATTATCTTACAGTGCCACACGAGGACTCCAGGGATGATAGAAGGCCCCGTTAACAGGAAGGAAAGTGAGTTGTTGGACTGTGCTTGAAATAGTCCCTACACAATGTTTAAGGTGGTGTCATGGAACGTGGGTCATGTGGTTGTCCATGTAGTGTGAGATGATCAGAGCCTTTGTAGGTTTGGGGACAAGGAACTGAGTGACATGGTAAAAGTGGGATTTAATAAGATGGGGGGTAGTATATAAACTTAGTCTATGGACAAGAGGCTTCTGCCATCTAATTGTGAACCATTAAGGAGCTCTGGTAGCGTAGTGGTTACGAATCGGGCTGCAAACCTTAAGGTCAGCATTTCGAAACTACCAGCTGTTCTGCGGGAGAAAGATGAGGTTTTCTGCTCCTGTAAAGATTTACAGCCTCAGAAACCCTGTGCAGGGTCGCTATAAGTCGGAACCAACTCCACGGCACATAAATAACAACAACAAAGGGCCTGGTCAGGGTGGTGGCTGTGGATTGGAAAGGAAGATAACTTTTGAAAGATATCTCAGAAGCAAGATTCATGGGGCCTCCTAACACCCTCAGATTTTGAAGAATGATAGTACTGCTGGGGAAGAGGGGGTCATGGGAAAAAGAAGCTAGTGTGAGGGAATGGGGGTGAGCTCAATGTGTATTAAAAACAATGACAGTTGGAATTGGATAGGTTACACACAGGAAGATTCTGGAAATGTGAGCTTCGGGGGGCTTCTACAGGGCATGAAGTGGTCTTCCCAGATTCTCCATGTGATTCCATGAAAGATGTAAGCTCCCCAAGGCCGGGAGACCTTGAGCAGACAGGTTTTTATATCCTGTCTTGGAAGCGCCCTGTTCTGCTACATTAGGCTTTTGTCTGTAGGTAGGACTAGGGTTTACAGCTGGGAATGAAACTTGACCAAGACAAGGGTCTTAGAGGTCTGTAACTCCCACACACTGAAGAGGGACCCAGTCCCCCCACCGTACTCTGCCTGTCTGTGTTCATGCTGCTTCCTCTTCATAAAGGTGTGGTCCTTCCCTGAATTAGCCAGTAGAAGAGTTGTCCAGGGCTGAGAAGAAAACAGCTGCTCTTTTAGGGCAAAGAAACAGGATGAGCAGAAACAAGCAGCCTGTCTCTGATGAAGCTGGCCTCCAATTTACCAGTTCATCGAGCCCTCCGCCAGCTCAGGGCGGTGGGAAAGGGGGCAGGCCGGAGGAGGAGCAGAGCAGCTTGTGTACAGTAAAAGGAGTTTGCCATCAAAAGGCAACAAGTCTCGGGCCCTGCCCCGGACGGTGACCCTTCCCTGTGGAGTTGTCCCCTCTGACCTCCAGATCATTAATCCCGAGGCTGCCAAATGACAGTCATCCATCACGCCGCCTGACTAGCATCGCTGCCGACTGTGAAAGGACCCTGTCCCCGCCCTCCCTGCTGTCCCCTGGTGCTCATTAGTAGCCCTTCCTGCTCGGTGCCAGGTTTCCTAATCAAGTCCCTGACTCTGTTCGCTTCCCTTCGGGGCCAGTGGGCGGAAGCTGCTCTGACCCTCCCTCTCTCTGAGGCCAACAAGGGGGTGGTGTGATCAGAGGGGAGAGAGTTGTTGAGTGGCTTTTCATCCCCCTGGAGACCCGTGTGTCCAGCGGCTCCTTTGGCATGACGGGACACACATAAGTGTAAAAACAATCTGTCCTGCAGCAGGGCCAGTGCCAGCAAGCCTCGGGGTAAACTAGGCGAAAGCAGGCAGTATACAAATGAATAGGCGCCACATTGTCCCCAGCAGTTTGCAGACTTAGCCTAAAGGTTGGTGCTTGGACCAACCCCTTGGCTTTGTGGGAAAAAGGGCTGGCAGTCTGATTGCACAGAGATTGCTGCTAAGAAAAGACCGGAGCAGTTCTTCTTTATACCCTTGGGGTGGCCGTGAGTGACAATAGACTCCAGACTAGCTAACAACAAGCAAACAGACACACTGTCACAGACCAAACTCAGTGCTACAAAGAGTTGTGCCTTGTGGATGAATGGGACAAGCCAGAGGCTGTGACAACTGAATGAAGGCAGAAGACTTCAGAGGAATCTTACTGCTAGCAAAAAGATCTTAGAAGTAATTTTATCCAGCCCTGTTGTTTAACAGATGGGAAGACAGACCCAGAGAGGTTAAGTGTTTAGCCCAAAGCCACACAGTTTAGTAAGTTTGACCTGTCCTTCTCAAAGAGCTGACTGTCTGCTAGTTTTCAGGCTTTGGAGATCTGAGTCAAATCAAAATTACCCTTTTAAGCAGATTCATGGAGCCCTAGAGGAAGACCTCCAATGAGATGGATTGGCAAAGTGTCAGCATCAATGGGCTCAAGCGCGGCAACAATTGTGAGGTTGGCCCAGGACTGGGCAGTGTTTAATTGTGTTGTACATAGGTCACTATGAGTCGGGATTGACTCGATGGCACCTAACAACAACAACAAGAAGGAATCCTGGTATGGTGCTGTGAGTTAATGCACTGGAATGCAAAGTCAGTTTGAACTACAGGGTCAGAGGTTCAAGTTCAACAGCTACTTCTCAGAAACCCTATACAGGGTAACTATGATTTGCAACCAACTAGACAGCACTTAACAACAAATATATTCATGGAAGTCCTGGTACAGCAGTGTAGGATAAGCACTGGACAGCAAGGTCAGTTTGAATTGCTAGGTCGGCTGGTCACACTCACCAGCTGTTCCTCGGAATATTACAGGGTCACTATTGGTCGGAACCCACTCAGTGGCGCATAACAACAACGAGTCAAAGCCAACTCGATAGCATTTAACATCAACCAAAAGGCAGATTCATGAACATTATTTCCAACTCAGCAAACAGAGGGAAGACCTAAATATTGTCTTTCTCTGCTTAGAGATGACCCTTCTGTTTTTTTTCTCTTTGGAAATGACAGGGACCCCAATCAACCGAATACCCATCATGGCCAAGCAGATCCTGGACTTGTACATGCTGTACAAGCTGGTAACCGAGAAGGGGGGCCTGGTGGAGATCATCAACAAGAAGATCTGGAGGGAGATCACCAAAGGCCTGAACCTGCCCACATCTATTACCAGCGCCGCCTTCACTCTGAGGACCCAGTGAGTGGCCAGGGCCTTGGGGCAAGGAAGCTGGGGCTGGAGAAAAGGAAGGAAATTCCACCGTCCAGTTAGCACGATAAATGGAAAACCTCTCTCAGGAGATCTCTGTGATGAATCCCTCACTAAACCTAAATACTGGGACCTGCCGCTTATCAAGGTCTTTAGGTGGTAGTACTTTACCATATTTGTTTCCATTTAACCTTCATCATCAGCCCAGTGAAACCAGTGTTATCCAGATTACAAAACGCTATTTTAGGGATTTAATAATATGGCCAAGATCATGCCAGCCAGTAAATGGTAGCGCTGAGCTTCACACTCTTTCTAGGATATCAGCTCCCAGACATGACCACCACCACCCCTACGTCTGGCCTCCTGACCTACCATTCAGCTTGGCCAGCAGTGGGGCACCCAGAGGAAGGCAAGCCTCGTCCAGATTAGCAGCCTATTTTGTTTGTTTTCTTTCCATTTTTATTGTGAATTGGCTAAAGGTCCATGGAACGGGTCATTGATTGTCCATTCAGTAATTCACACACGTTTTGCTTCATCTCACTGACTGCAGTTCCCTCAGTGTAACATTTTTCATCCCACTTCCTCCCCCTGAGTTTCCCGTTTCCATTCTTCCTTCTTTCCCAACCCTTCCGAATTCTGGCCTTAGGTAACTGCTGCCCTTACATCTCAAATGTTTGGTTATTCTAAAGTCTGTGGCCACCTATTTTTATTACCATTTCAATTAATTACAAAACTGATAGAGCAGCGAAACCAAAAGTAGTAGTATTAACAGATGAGGATTTGAAGGGAATCTGCTCTGGAACTTGCTGGAAGTTGCTCCATGAAGAACATGGAATGAGCAGCTGACTCCACTTGGGCAGCCTGTCCTGACTACTAAGATAAGTGGATGGGTCACATCTATTGAATCGTTCCAACAGAAGCTGAAAGGTTGGGGACAGAGCTAAGTCAGAATAGCAGCCTCCTTTCAGCCCGCTCACAACTCTCGGTTAGAGAATTGCTTCTTGGGGCCTCTGACACAGAGGACAGCCCTTCCAGGTCCCCACATAACAAGGAGCATCACTCTGACCAGCCTAACTCAGAGTGGACACTGAAAAATACTGCCCAACACGGACCTGGTTTCTCTCAAGACACTTTAAAAAGGTGTGAGAACAGACATGTTGTTTATTTTCCTTAAGGACAGATGCCTCAAATTTGAGCAGTGTTCAGAACTGAGGAGCAGCTAGGGGAACCTAGGGTGGCATGTATTTTACTCCACCACCAAGGGTGCCATTCTTCGCCCTAGAGGCCTGCCCGACATTCTTCCAGAGACCCAGCGTGGTAAACTGAGCAGTCTGCAGTGTCATGTTGTGGATTGTTCTTGCTTCCTTCCTTCCTTTTTCAGGTACATGAAGTATTTATATGCCTATGAGTGTGAGAAAAAAGCCTTGAGCTCCCCAGCAGAGCTCCAGGCAGCCATCGATGGCAACCGGAGAGAGGGTCGGCGGCCCAGTTACAGTTCTTCCCTCTTTGGCTACTCACCTACCGCTGCTACTGCTGCAGCTGCCGGGGCCCCGGCTCTTCTCTCCCCACCCAAGATCCGCTTCCCTATCCTTGGGCTCAGCTCCAGCAGTGGTACCAGTGCCAGTAACTCTCGGATAACCCCAGCAGCCTCACTCAGGAAAGGTCAGCAGGGCCCTTGGAGGAGGAGGAAGGGATGATGGGAGGTCAGAGCCAAGTCTCCCTGGACCTACAGTTGGATTCTTTGAGTGCAAGGATGGATTGGTCCAGCTCTGGTTCCTTCACAGGTGACGGACTCCCAGTGACAGCGGTGCCTGTAACTAATCGCCTAGCTGTGCCTGTGACCCTGGCAGGCCCGCAGGCTAGTACTCGGACTACCACACTGGAGCAGCTGCGGGAGCGGCTGGAGTCAGGGGAGCCTCCGGAGAAGAAGGTGTCGAGGCTGTCGGAGGAAGAACAACGTCTGGTGCAGCAGGCCTTCCAGCGCAACTTCTTCAGCATGGCGCGGCAGCTCCCCATGAAGATCCGGATCAACGGCAGAGGTGAGTGCCAGAGCCCCACTCCAACAAGGGCCAACTCAGGTCTCCTGGGACTGGGGCAGGGTGCTCAGGCTGACTTAGGATGGACATACTCCTGACCAAGAAGGGAGACCCCCAAAAGGTTCTAGAAGTGATCTTTGTTCCAAGCTGAGGTCCTTTTTTAGGGGATTAGAAATGACTTCAGGAAGTGCCCTGTTCTCTGATTAAAAAGGAGAAGCCAGAGCGCTTCTGAGACAGTTGGTGTCCCAACAGCCTTTTTTTTTTTTAACATTTTATTTTGTGAATTATGTGATAGTTTACATGGGAGAACATTAGTTTTACATTCATCCTATTGTATATCAGTTCATTGCCATGGGTACAATCCCCTCCTGCATCACCAACCAGCCAAAGGGTACATCCTACAAGCCTGCCCCCCATCATCAGCACAGAGCCCCTTCCCCTTTCTGGGTCTAGAGTCCCCAGAGGCTCCATCTCTCCACGTCATCGTCTCTGCCTTCTCTGCCTGCATCTCTGGCATCACTGTTTCTCTGGGTAGGGTCCCGCACTCCCCTCTTCTCCCTTGGTGGTCCCAGGGACCTCCGCTCCTGGACTGCAAAGTCAATCACTCCCCTCCTTTTGCCACAAAACATCTACCTTTACATTTCCAACCCTCACAGTCAGTCCTGATAGCAATTATTCTATTGCTATCACAAGAAACCTATCCCCATCTCCTTTCATCAGCCCCACCCAGACAGATTGGATACTACTCAATGGAGATTCTACCTTCCTCCACACCCTCTAGATCTAGGCTCTCTCTTGAAAGCTTGTAAGCCAGTCACTTCTTGCCTTTTAGCCCTTTCCCCCCCACCCCTTTTGGGTAGCCAATGTCCAAGTTACCCATCCCTATCTATTCTGTGTATGGAGGGGGGTGGGAATGGTCTTCGCTGTAAAGATTTGTTCCCTCTTTTGAGCTACGGCATTCATAGGTGTAGGTCAAGTTCATAAAATTGTATCAGATTCCTCTTTTTTCCCTCTTCTTCCTTCTTCTGGTTGAGCTCTGATCATCTAGTCACTGAAGCTAGGTCAAGTGGGTATTACCTGCAAGTGTGGGTGTTCTTGTGCATATGCCCTCACTTCTTATCAGCTGGACACTTCACTGTCCACTCTAGTACTCTGTGGCTATGTCACTGACTCTGGGCCCATGAGTCCCCAGGTCTTGCCACATTGCTGGCCAACCAGGTCTCCACCCAGGTTCACAGGAGTTGATTGAACGTTGTGGGGCTTAGCTCACAGCTTCATTGTTGTTTTTCCCTCACTTCCCCTTATCAGTGACGAGCGTAGTCACCAATCAGAGTGTGTATTCCCACTGAGTCTTAGTCTTGGAAGGGAGTTTGCCTTGAGGGGACTCGACCGCTTGCCTTGATGTCTCCTGGGCGAGGAACTTGCTTGTTCTTGTAGTAATCAGTCGGACTGCCGTTATTGTTTTGTATTTTTCCTGTTGGTCTTTTCTTTCAAGAAGTATCTTCTGTTCTTCTAGCTGTTCCAGGCCCAGCAGCCTTTTGATGTGTCTAACTTAGATTAAGGGCCTCAGCCTTTTTCCTTAGCACGTCATTGGATGGAGGCAAGAGCAGGGCATAACCATCGATCCTGAGCTTTACCAAGGGGCCAGAGTGGCATTAGGATGGGTTGGTGGAGCTGCCGTGACCTTATCTGGTGTATGTGGCAGCGACCCTCAGAAGTAGCAGCAGAGGAGGAGGAAATACAAAGTTGGCAGTGGAGTTGACAGCCTTCTACTTCCCCTGCAGTTTTCTACTGCCTCACACTGCCTTCCTCTTTCTCCCTCTCTCCCTTACATAATTCTTTGACTCTGTCTCAGAACAAACAGGAATCGCCATGTGTTGGGAAATCGGGTGAAAGGAGCTGGTGCATATTCCCAGGTGGCCCCACCTATCTCATCTCTTCCCAGTTGGGTGAGAAGCCTGTGGAAGCTAGGGGTAGCAGTCCCTAGAGCTGGCCTCTCTTCTCCGTTACCAGGTGCCCTGGTCCTGTACAGAGCCAGAACCTTATAGACAAGGCAGTTTACCTGGAAGAATTCTTGCCTTTCCATGTGCTGGAAAGAGCAGGGTCTGGGGCAAGCCCAGCAGAGGCCTTAGTTGTCAGTGCAGCGCCTGCAGCCTTCCCAGACCACCAAATGCTCCGGTGTAGATGGGGACCCCAGTCTAGACCAGGCGCTGGGAAGGTAGAGGCATCGTCAAATCAGGGACTGGCCCTCACTGATGTGATTTCCTGGGGCCTGGTCCATAGTGAGTGCTCAATGAAGGTCTGCTGAACCACAGTGTAAGTTCTAGAGAGAGCACACAGCCATATTGCTGTGTGTGGTCCCCTCACTCCAAGGGCAGAAGACCTGGGGAACAAACTGGCTCAGCAGAGAGAGAGCAAGCAATAGAAGTTGGGTCCTCTTGCCAGACTGCTGGTCAGAAGGCAGGATACCAGTGCTGTGTAAGAGTGGGAGGCCTTGGCCTGGTGTGAGCAGGCAGGGAGAGTGCTCTGGGGAAGGCTGAGCAGGCCTGGGTTCTCGCTCGTCCTCAGCAGAAGACAGATCAGAGGCGTCAGCTGCAGCACTGAACTTGACCACGAGCAGCATTGGGAGCATCAACATGTCCGTGGACATTGACGGCACCACGTATGCAGGTGAGGCCCAGGGGAGCTCTTTCCACAGTCTCCGACTTCCACAGGACTATGTTAGCTGAAGGTGGTTAACAGGGATGGCATCTGGTACAAGGATAGATGTGATGTGTTGGACCACTTGGCTGATTGATGAGAATAGTCATTTAGTATGAGGACTGGGAGTCAGTGCTACATCCATGTCTCCCACTCACAGGTCTTCTGCGGCAGGACCACAGCCCTTTCTTTGTCTGTGGGTTGCAGACACACCCCACCACAAACTGCCATTTCTCTCTAAAATGGACCAAGAACTGACACGCAGGCAAAGCGATCTGAGCAGAATGTATCAGTCCAACTCTTTCCCTCCCCGCAGCCTTTTTCAATGATTTCTCCCAAAACCTAATTTGGAGTCTTGGTGTGTGTGGTGCTGTAACCCCAGTGCCGGCTGTTCACGCCCACCAGCCACTCCTTAGAAACCCTACACAAGGTCGATGTGAGTGTTCTGAAACACAGCCTCATGCTGTCCTTAGCCCATTTGAAAGTCTCCTGGACTCCACAAGCCTGGCAAGGCCTAACCTGCTCACAAGGTGCGTGTGCAAGGCCTCCTTTACCTTGTCCTCCGTACCTCCCAGCCTTGTCGGCTGCCGCTTCTGCCTTTACCTTACTGTGGTCCCATCAGCCTGCACACCAGTGTTCCCTAAGTCTCCTTTGCCAGGTACACAGTCTTCCCCCTACCCTTCATTTGGTCACTTGTCCCATGCCAGCCCAGCCACCCTCTCCCCTAGAGCTTTTCTGGATCAATCTTCCCCTGTCTTCCACAACCTTCCCTAGGTTCCCACAGCACCCTGGGTCCTCTGTTTACCCCCCTGCCCCTTGGTGGGCTGTAAGCCACTAAAGGCAGGCAAGTGTCTGGGTACGCTCCTCTGGGCACCCAGTTTAGCGTGGGTTAAGCGGTGAGAACTGGTGGGAATGAATGATCAGCCCCTTCTCTGCCCACACTTGTTTCTCCCTTAACTCCACCCTAGGTGTGCTGTTTGCCCAGAAACCTGTGGTCCACCTCATCGCGGGGTCTGCTCCTCAGAGCGTCGGCAGCAGTGCCGGCAGCAGCAGCAGCAGCTCTCACTGTTCGCCAAGTCCTACCTCATCCCGGGGTACCCCCAGCGCAGAGCCCTCCACCAGCTGGTCCCTCTGACGGGCAGACCAAGCTTCCCACTCGCACTCTCCTGCAGAGAGTGAAGGATGTTGTTGATGCACCGAATTTACCTCATCTCACGGAGCCCGCGTCGAACACCGTTTGGCCAGACGCTGAGGGTTTGTCCAGGCTCCATTCAGGTCCTGCTGTACTCTGGGGGCAGGGAGAGGTTGGAGGGGCCAGACAAGGCAGCGTTGTCCAATCAGGGATTGTCCTGGAGAACTGGGCAGGGGTCTGTGGTCAGCCAGCTTCCTCCAGGGCCCTCAGGTCACCCCCATCCCGTGGTACAGTGTAGCGACAATCTGTAAGCCCATACACAGGGCTGGAGGCCCTCTATGGTCCTTTCCCTTAATTTATTTCCCTTCCCCCCACCCCCCGCCATGACCCCAGGGTCATTGGTCTCTCCCATACTCGTTCCCTAATCTAACTCACATGGGGCTTCTGGGAGCCAAGAGCCTGCCTTCATGGCCTCCCCAGCTCACCTTGTCTACTGGGCTTGAGTCCTGGCATGTGGTTCCCTCCAATCCCAGTCTTGAATCAGTCCTCAGGGTCCCATGTCTCCCTTTTATGGTCCTAAGGAAGGGCCCACGAGGGCCACTACCAGGTTCAGTCCTTTGCTGAGAGGGAGTCAGAGCTCTGGGCTGCTCCAGCCCTGGCACCATCTTACACTGACCCTTGTCTGAATCCCCCAACCTCCTGCTGCCCTTGTGCCATGTTGGCCAGCTCTCCCAAGAACATGCCCCTTGTCCCTTCTCCTCTCTGCCCCCACCTCCCCCAAACCTGCTGATGTCAGGTCATTGAAATACCTCAGCTTTATAATTGTTGATGTTTGAATCTTCAGGAAGTATTTGCATTTCTGAAATCTTTTTTATATGTGTTTTGTTGACTTTTTTATTTTAAATTTTTCTTTATTGTTGTTGTAGCACCAAAGAATTGAAGCAGATCACCCTCAAAGCCACACAAATGGTTTGGTTCCCCAGCCCCTCGGCCCTTCCTAAGACCCCAGTGAGAAGGTAGGGGAGGCAGGAGAGATGACTCAGGGATCCTAGTAGGGGGCTAGGAGGTGTAGGACGCAGACAGCCTGAAATCGCCATTTATGAAGATGGTGTTTGACCTGTTTCCTGCCAAAGCAGGGCTCGTCCTGGACCCCTGCCCCAGCTCACCTCTGCTCCCCTCATTCAGCATGCCCACCTCAGGATGTGGAACGCCCCTAGAGGCTGAGGCCCTTGCTGGTCTTGCCAGAGGTCAAGCTGTCCAGGGAACGAAAAGGTGCTGAGAGCTCAGTCTCTCCTCTCGGACCCTGGGATGGGGCAGCGTGCTCTTTCGTTGTAAAGGAAGACAATTTCCTGCACAAGGCTGACCTCTTAATCATCTCAGCCCCGATGTGTTCAGTAGAGCGCCCTCCACTGTGCCGTCGTAGGACAGTGGTGGTGGGGTGCCTATGGCACAGCTGACATTGAAACAGGTCTAGGAATATCAAAAGCTTGAGCACAAAACAGATACCTCAGCCTGCTAAGTGGCCCCTCTGCTGGACTGCATCTTCTCCCCCCTTCCCAAAGCCTTCGCACACAGACACACACCCTCACAGACCCATGCAGGGGCAGTCCCTCCTCTGGCCTCAGAAGCCTTATGCATCAGGCACGTGCAGGGTGATGATGAGGAAGGGCGTCTAGGATCTGGTGCTGAGGAGGGGCCCAACTGGCTGACCCTGGCCCACTTGAAGGTTTCTCCGACATTGGGCCAGTGTGTCTTTCTCAGGGGTTTGGTCATGGATGGACTCTTCTCATCCAGAGGATACAGGGACAGTACTGTCTCTCTGGTCACTGGATTCTTCCCCTGCCCGGGCAACTTGCCCAGCCTCACCTTCTGAGAGAACCCTTGCTGCCCTCAAGGACAGTGGCAGAGTCTCGGTCAGAAGGAAGCCATGGGCAGGACCCTAACCTAGGAGGCGCTTCTCCCAAGGTGTGATCCTGAAGGCCATGTGGCAGGCAGGCAGCCAGCCAAGCAGCTCTGTCCCTTCCCCTCGCCCTTCCCATCGTATATGTATTCAAACCAGGAAAATGTGATAGCACATGGGTAGCCTAGGCCGTGGATAAATACCTCAGACGTCTTCTCGCAGCAAGTATCTGTATATGTTGTGGTTATTTTCTATCTTACATGTTCTCGAATGTTTATATTTCAATAAACCTCTACCTCTTCACACAAGCAGGTCTTTCTTGGTTACTTTAAGTGAGTCTCCCATTGGACAGTAATGGGAGAGGTGAATCGGTGTGGTCAGGGACTGACTGAACCTTCTCCCTGTCACTACTTACCCATCCTTTCCCCTCAGTGCTCAGTGATGCTGAGCGAGGATAACTTCTGTACTAACGGGGAACCCAGGCACTGCCTGTCACCAGAACTCCAGTGTCACATCACTGTCCTGGCAGGCGCAGTGCCAGGGGATCCCTGCTTCCATCTAGCATGAAGACTTTCTGAGTCCTGCCACAGTCCTGGACAAGACACAGCCTCATGTAGGAGATGCGTGCCGTTATCAGACACAGTCAGTGACTGCTGATCTGGCCGCAGGGACACTGGAGAGTAGGCTGATGACAGAAGCAGGAGCAGCTCTCGCCAGAATCTCCTGAAGGCTCGTCAGAGGTGGTAATTTCTAAGCTGGAAGAATCAGAATTGGCTAACTGGACAAGGGCACGAAGAGTATTTCTTGCAGACGGACTGATAGGTATGGAAATACAGTAGCAGCCAAGGGCTTGGCATGAGAAAACTGGTCATTGCCCAGGGTCAGTGGGGATAGGTGAGCTTGGGGTTAGAAGGGATGCCAGGTTCAGGGATTTGGGCATTAGAGTACTGCCAACATGCTTTAAGCAGGGTATTGACTTTAAAGGTGGACTTTTCTAGAAAGCATTTATGACGAGAGCGTGAAGTCAGGAGATAGATCTGCGGAGGAGTGGGGAGCCCCTGGCGACATTCCCCCTGGAACTCACGCCTAGACCCAGAGTTCTCAGCCTGTTTCTCTGCCAGGGTGCACACTTCTGTGGATTCAGCCTGGGTTTTGGCAAAAGTAAAAGGAATGTTGAAGAGGTAAAGCACTAGTGAGCTTGTAATTGCCCTCCATCAGTAACATCGCCGCAAGTGGGGCCAGCAGCCCTCTGCAACCCACTGAGGCAGCCTAGCAGGACCCCTCTTCCCTGCAGAAATGCTGGAGAATGAGGGTGATGTTGGGACAGTTAGGAGCTGCTCTCACTTACTCGTGAAATCTTTTGAAAGAAACCACCAACCCTTCAGTACTTTAGTTACTGCTAACCAATTGTTGGTATCACACCTCACACATGTGACACATGGGGGTTAAGACCCTGGGCCTCGGCTAGGAGGACCTGAGAGTATGAAGAGGAACCGGAGTCCAGAGCTATCGGAGATGGGAACGGTGCTTAATGGCTGGGAGAGGATGGAAGGCACTGCTGAGGGAGCAGCAGCACTGCAGCAGACTACTGATTGAAATGGAGATTCCAGGAGGACCAAGGTCCCAGACACTGCAGTTCCATTCCACTTCCGGTTCGCAGAAGATACCCAAGCTGAACAGAGACAGGAGGGAGAGTAGGAGTCTGTCCACAAACTCATAAAGGATTGATGAAGAAGACTTGTATGTCTATACATATTTGCCGCTGCTACCATATCCAAGAATGTGGCTCTGACTCATAGTGAACCCTATACACAACAAAACAACCCATTGCAGCTGCCGCTGTGTCAAGCCATCTCCTTGGGAGTCTTACTCTTTTTCGCTGGCCTAAGTAAGCATGATGTGCTCCAGGGACTGGTCCCTCCTGATAACATGTTCGAGGTATGATAGATAGGTCTCATCATCATGGCTTCTAAGGGGAATTTTGGCTGTACTTCTTCCAACACAGATTTAACTCAAATGCAGCAATTCTTTGGTACTTTCACATGCGTTTGAGGCTATTGTAAATACCATGACTAAGGTCAGGCACACTTTAGTCCTCAAGCTTACGACTTTACTCTTGAACACTTTAAAGATGTGGTGGACCATTATAAAACCAAACCCCCTGCCATCAAGTTGATTCCGACTCATAGAAACCTATGTAGGGCTTCTTAGGTTGTATATCTGCGGTAGCAGAAAGACTTCTCTTCCTCCCACGGAGTGGCTGGTGGATTTGAACTGTCCTTGTGGTTAACAGCAACACATAATCCACTGTGCCACCAGGGCCCCTGTGTGGTGGAGCATTTCTTATTGTTAAGTGCCATGAAGTCGGTTCTGGGGCAAAATTATGAAAACTTCTTAAACACCTTGAGGGAACGATTTACTGGACCTGGGGGCTCAGGACCATAGTCTTAAGGGACACCATAGTCAACTGGCGTAACAGTCCAGAAAGACAATGAACATTTTACATCCTACTTTGGTGTGTATAGCAACTGGAATCTTAAAAGCTTATGAATGGCCATATAAGGTAAAGCTATTGATCTCTACCTGTCTGGAGGGGTAAAGTGACAGCTGAAGGGACTAATGGAAGGACCACAGGAACATCAGTCTCTGTGACACTGAGACCAGAAGAACTAGATGGTGCCTAACAACTCTGAAAGGGATCACATTAGCAGGTCCTGGATAGAGTGGGAGAAAAGGTGGAACAAAACTCAAAATCATGGAAAACAAAAAACAGGCACTTGAAACTCAAAGGGAACATATGAGTAGGCACATAAGCTTGCTGATGACCACGGTCAGCTGGTGAGTGGAAGTGAGGGAAAGGCAACAATGAAGAAATGGGCTAAGTTTGACTACATTTCATAAACTCCTGTTGACCTGGAGATGAGAGCGAGAAGAGGAAGGACTGGTTGGTTCGAAGTGTGGTGAGACCTGGGGACTCCCGAGTCCATGGACAAGGGTTAGAGCTGACAGTGAAGCATCCAGCTGATGAGAATTGAGGGGATATGCCCAAGAATACCCAAACTTGTAGATAATACCCATTTGAACTAGCCTGGATGGCTTGATG